AAGGAAAATCTGAAATATGCAAAATCTTCAGTGATTGTATAATTTTTTTTAAAGTAGTTCTGTTGCATGTTGAAGTTCTCGTTTTAAATTTATAGTTAGGAGAACACCACTGGAAAACCCTCTTCCTCTTCAGCGGTGTTTGATAAAATTTAAATACTTTGTTCCCTTTTAGCTTAAGGATGGACCACATCATAGTTGGTTTTCATTCCTCAGTTGTGTTGGAACTGCAGTGTTGAAGACTATGCAGATGGGAAACAAATGCATGCTTTTCTTCTGTTGCCCTCTCCCCAGATTGTTAGTGCACACTTCATAGTCTGAAGTTTATCTAATTAAAATGTTATTGCTTTGTATATGTGATTTAGTAAGTCCCTATTCAGTAACTAAGAATTTAACTGGTTACCTTCCCATTTGAAATTGGAAAATTTCTAATTATACTTTCTTATGCTGCTGTGTTGGTTTATCCATGGCTTGTATTTATTTCTTAAAGGCATGCAGAGGTGATTAATCTGACTCCAGCTCCCAACTTTCTCCAGCAATAGTAGTTTTAAAGGATACTTTTTCAGTAGAAAACTGTTGGGTTATTGAGTAAAAAGATAATCTGTAGTGAGTTATGATGCACTGCTTTGTTCTTTTCCCTCAAGCACTATTGAAATATGAGGAAAAATATTGTTTGGCTCCTTGCAACATATATGTATGATATATATATATCCTAAGGATTAGTTAATATTGCCATAGTCAAGGTGCATGGCCATTTCATTGGAAACTAGTAACTGAGCTTTAATTGTGACTTGTTCACAAATTGGGATGTTTTAGATACAACAAATATTTACATTTTTATGTATTTGATCTATTTTAGTTTTTTTCATAGCTTTTTAGTGGAAAATATATTTTGTTTAGCACTACCTGCCTTCTGAAAATATTTTCTCAGCCTTTGAGTTCAGTGTTTCCAGTTAAAATACATACTGTATTGTTAGAAAAACGTGCAAGATTCAGGGAAAGATGCTAATGTCATGCACATTCATCAAGAAATATATTGGATTTAATAGTAGCATTTGAATTCAGCAATATAAACTCAGCCTTGTTAAGGAAGATAGAACCTTCCTCCATAAATCCTAGAGTTGTAATACTGTGTATGCACATAAACAGTGAGACTCAGATCTAAGGTCTAAATTAATTTTTTTGTTGGGTTTTTTAGGAAAAGTTTCACTAAAAGGGACAAACCAATGAGCAGTTCCTCTGAACAAAAATGGACAGTCTAAACCAAATAGAGAGTTGCTTTTATCTGGATTTAGCAAAGATGCCTTCTCACTTCTCGTGGGCAGCTTACAGTTTCTTCAAAGAAAGATTTGGTAAAAGTTTGTAAGAATAGAAATGCTGGAAGCTGATAGTGTTCATGGGTGCTGTTTGCTAAATACAGTCATATCCAAAGATCTGTAGAAATGATATGAAGGAGTTGTATTTTGAGTTCTTCAGCCACCTACAGTTGACAAAAGTAATACTGCTCTGAATATCCTTAAGTTTTGAGGGTGCCTGGCCAGCTGGAAACAAGCAGTGGCAGATTCTTCCTTGACTTTGGTTTTGTAGTGTCCTGGTAGCAGCAGACTCTTGGTTTACTCCCCTGCCCCAACTTTCAGAACGAACTGGCAGAGAACCAGAGTTGAAATCCCAGCAGACAAACTGTTCATCTCGGACACGTGCAGTGTTTGTTCCAACCTCTGCCTGTCCCAACCTCGGGGGCAGCAGACACGGAACCAACCCGGGTGTTGCCCAGCACTGCAGAGGTTTGACAAGTGCCAGGGTAGTGGCTTTAACAGATAAACTCCTTGCATGAAGAGTTAATTGTAAAACACAAGCTCAGTTATAGTGTAAAATTTGAATATTTTTTTAAATGTGGACTGTGTATTTAAAAACTTTTTTTTCCCTAATTATTTTAACTTTTTGTATAAGTTTAAAATTACCAGCTTGTTGAAGTGCTTGATTCATGTTTTCCACATGTAGGGATAACCAGGGTGTAGCAAGTTACCAGGGGTCATCACAGGAAATGATTGTGACCATTTTCAAGTGATTTTGATTTTTTTAGTTTTGTTATTTTTTTAGCTACTGGCTTAATGGGATTTTACCTGTTATTTCTGAGAATTAAAGATTATTAGTTCAGACTGTACTCCCCAAATTAATTCTTATCTAAGCATGTGTTTCGTGGCTCATGTTAAGTCACTTCTGGGGAAAAAATGAGAGTCCAAACTCAAACCTAATAAAAGACAGTTTTAAAACCTACAGCTGCTTAATTGTTCAGGAAAATCAAAATTCTCAGTTTTGTAGTTAGACTTTCTCTGCTGTTATTTACAATGCAAAGTTTATATGAAAGGTGCCTAACAGCTAATAACTTTAGAAGCAGTGTATCTTTCCAGATTAAACAAGATTTGCAGAATGAGTGATAAAGTTTAAAAAAAAAATTTAAGTGATGCATCCTGATTTCATAGAAACTGTTTAATTCTCTGTATAAATGCTCAGTATTACATTTAAACACTGCTGGATGTTTCTCATTTTTGCTTGCATTTCTAATTACTTCATTTTGCTTTATTTCTGAAACACATTATGCCATGTGTAGCCACTGATACAATTGCTGAAATACTCTGGAAAGCAAACTTTAATTTGGGACTTGTTGGTTTTTAAAAGTATTCTTAAACAAATCGGCCACCTTTTTGCCAGGTATTTGAGTTGCTTTGTACAGCATATCTTAACAGGAGGAATGTGTGCAATATGTATCACCTCAGTTTTGTCTGGCAATGTTACGAAAATGTTAAGATGCAATATCTTCTTTTCACTTCAAATTTGAAAAACTGCAGTATCTCTGATTTGGTGGTGTATTTATTTTTATCTGTTCAGTGTATGGACATATGGTTAGTTAGGTTTTTTATGTACACTATGTGCTTTAGTAATTTCTGAGTTTTAATCACTTCTGTGGATGCACCAGTTGTAGCCATTTGCATGTTCTTTCAATATGAAGACCATGGGGAAGGGAGCTTCAGGAAAGATTTCTGGAAACCGGAATAATTGTAAGTCAATAAATGTAGATACTGCATCATTAACGTTTTTGGTATGGTATGGATTTTATAGCACCTATGTATGTTTGCAGTTATTAAGTTATTGCATAAATGTTTAAGAATGAACATTTTTTTCATCCAAAATTTTGTATGTTTGCAAATATATTTTTGTAATAAAACTTCAAAACAAATGTTTCAGCACCTCCTAAAATCTTGTGATGTTTCCTTTTATTTCTAGAGTCCTATTAGCCTACTGGAAGATTCAGTTTTTTGTTTAGGGTTAATATTTTCCAGAGGAGAAACTAGAATTCCTTACTCCTTACTGGGGGTAGAACCAATTTGCATTTGTCTGCTAAGGAAGTGCAATCTGCCTGCTTGAGGGACAGTTGGGAATAGCCCCTGTCACTTGTAACAGCTTCTGTATTGCTGTCAGCATGCTTGTGGTTTGAATTTGCTAAACAGATACATTTCCTTTCACACTGAGAAATGCAGCTACAAATTCACTGTCATAAGTACAGCTGTAACTGGGTTTAGTGCCTTTCCATGTAACTTTTTTATGGTATCCCCCTCATCCAGGGACATGGCATAGGATACTCAATCCCGTGTTGGTCTTTGATCCAATTCATTGGAAATTGCAGTTGTCCTGTTACTGTATCTGATATTATGCAACTGATCAATCCAAATTTCACAAAGTCAAACTGGGAAGCTGATGAGGAGGAAAACCATAGCAGAACTTCTGCTGAAAGCATCTTGAAACAAAACCTTAGCCCTAAGTCCCTTAATCTTAGCTGGATGCTTATTCCCATTCTAACTACCCATAGGAGCTGGGATTGTGGGGCATATCCAATGTCAGGGAGGCCACTGGAGAACAGGTTTGTTGCTCTAGTGGTTCATATTGAACTGATTCCTGCACTATATCCAAAAGCAGGTTCTTCTAATAGAAGACTACAAGTACAGAAGTCATGGGATTTACTGTAAGATAATGGAGGAAACGTGGAACCAACTTAGAATCAAACTTGAAATTCTAGAATCCAGATTTAAATTCTATGTTAGGTGTGTTGCCTGTTTGGTCAATAGCAAGAATATTTTTTTATTGTTGATGCTGTTAATCTTTTTGTCTTCTCTGGATCCAGGTGTTCTCTTCACTGTTATTCGTGTGAAGTGCTCCCCTTTGATTTGGAAACAGGTAATACTTCTGAATTTGTATTTGTAGGTCCAGCTAAACCAGGCACTGTACAAAAAGTTTATGCAGACCAAACTCTCTTGGGCCTTTTCTCTCTTGATCCTGTGTCCTCTACAGTTGTGTTTTCTGAAAGTACCTGAGGGAATAGTCAATCCCTGCTGTGATGGTGATATGCACTGGGTAGAATCAGGGTGAAAACATCAGGCTTCCTAAAGCTCATCCCCTAAAATTCAGATTTTATTTGCAGGCTTGCAGAATGAAATAACAAGTTGTAGCTTGTGTTTATGAGCCATTAATTGAAGTCAGTGGATTCATTTATTTAGTAAGGATTCAACTATACTTCCTGCTCAATATACAAGGTACTGGGTCAGGTTAACATGAGTACAGAGTATAAGACACCTCATTCTTACAGCTTTCCTTCATTTGTGAACAGGATGCCTTCAATCACTAAATAGCTTTAGTATGGCTGAGGTAAATTTCAGTTTAGTTTTCTAACCAAAATATTAGAAATTATAAGATATGTTAAACAACTTTGAAAGACATTTTCAGTGTCCAGTAGTGGAAATTTTTTCTTCTATCTTCACCCAGCTACAAGTGTGAATCAGCTTTTTTCTCTCTTCCAAGTTTTGATTGAGGGATTTACTTTTGCACTGACCTACTAATTTGGGAGAGTTAAAGTGCAGTGATAGACCTGTAACTGAAATACGGCCCTTAACTGTAAAGCTCATCCTTGGCAGTTATGCAACGATTTTTCACTTCCTCTTAGAATCCTTCTTCATATGACACTCCTAATTAGGCTCAAAAAGCATTGAGAAAGGAGGGCAGTGAAGAGATATTTTTATCAGTTACTGCATTTTGAAAGAGCACTTGGAATAAAACAAAAGGGAAAGAACCAGTGGATAGAAGATTCCTGAGAGGAGAACAAGGGAAGGAATAGCAGAAGAGTGTAAGTAAATATGAAAGGGAATATTGTACAGAGATAAGTATGGCCTGTGAAGGTATTTCCTGAAGCAGAGAAAAATTTGAATTACAGTTTTGTTTCTGTACTGCTACATGTCTCCAGGTGTCCTCAAAGCTCGAATGTGGATTGCCTGTAAGAATTCAGAATATTTCAGGGGGTGTTAAAAATGACTGGGGAGGCACAATTTCCCTGCTAAGGGTTTTTTTAACCTCTGGTAATGAAGCAGCATAATGGAATTGGCTGATTCACAGCAGTACCTAATTTTTATCTCTGCTTGATGGCCTCACATTACAGCTTAAAGTCTGCTACAAAGAACAAGGCTGCTCATACCTAGTTGCATTTTGTCTTTCGTTTTAAATAGACCTTTAAAAATATTTCTACCATAATCCATTATTTAAAATTCAAGAAAAGCTTCATTTTACAAAACCAACCTTGGGAAATACAACCACAAAAGGATGAGCTTTATATGCTGGCTGAAATGAAAGCACTTGCCCTCAGGCCTTTCTTGGAAACACGCAGGTATGTGATGTAAATGCACAAGTTGTGTTTCTTTTCTCCTCATAAATAAGTCAAGAAGCTTTAAGAGCATCTACAGAGCAAAGATCTCCTGTATGCAAAACTCTGTGTGGCCTTTATTTAGAGAGCACATGACTTGCACATCCTGCTCTACTTCTTGTGGTTCAGAAGAGGAATGGGAGAGGCTTAGCAGGTTATCCAGCTTTCTCTGAGATTTATGGATGATGCTACATGCCCTCTCTGGTTTACTTTTTAAGCATCAAATAAATAAACTTCTGTTCTCTGGGGACACAGTTCTCCCATGTAACAAAATTGCTGTAAAGGAAGCTTCTGCTATCTTAAATTCACACAAGAATTGAGATACAAGGGTGCACTTAAAGCCTGCAGGATTTGGATGTGTCTGGAGCCTGTTGTGGTTTACAGCAAGCCCTGCTCCTGATGTAATCTTCAGGATGGAAGGTACAGGGCACCCATTATAAAGACAGATCTCTGCTTTCCAATGGTTTAATAGGAAAATCTTGCCACAACAGAAGCCTGAACAGAAATCCCAAAGGTTTGGTTAGAAACACATGCAGTACTTTTGATGGGGGTTTGAAAATAAGTTAGTATTCTGCAGATGTGAGGAAAGTTGTCTGAGGGGAAACTGCTAAGATAAAAGAAGTATGTGAAAGTAATGTAGATTCATACTATGTAGTGCCTGAGCCTGGGCCTGTGATGTAGCTTTATCTGTAACTTCATTTTAGATAAAAAAGCTTGATCTTACTACTGCACCTATGCCTGTTCCCATGCAGTACGTATCATTTCTTACAATTCTTGATGCGATGCTGCACAGAAATTGGAGATTTTTTTTTCACAATTCATTAGCAGCTAACTAATGTTATTACTGAAGATGAGCTGAACAATCTGTTCCATGTCTAACTGAAGCCACTGTGGTTTTGCATGTGGAAGGATGCTCTGGTGATGCATAATGGTCTGAATAATGAGAGAATGCTTTGGCATCAATCCATCTCATCCATTCTTGAACAATTTCCTTCTTGAAGGGCTTCTAATGCAACTGTTCTTTCAAAGGGCAAGAACAGTCAAAGCCTGTTGTGTTGCAGAGGTCAAGCTGAAGAAAATTTTTTTCACTTCTTTTCCACATGCATTACAGCACAAATAAATCCTGCTTTAGTAAAGCTCTTGTACCTTCTCTCTAAATTTACACAGCCTATGAAACTGTTGCTGTTTTGGGAGATTTCTTTTAGCACAAGTTATTGTTGGTAACTTTATTCTTTTAATTTTGCCAAATTCAGTTATTTGAATACAGACACTCATTTAAACCAAGACTAAAAAGACTAATAACCTCTCAGCTTGTTTTAAGAGTGTTATGGAACTTGAATTAAGAATCAAGTAGAGAAAGCAAATATGATGCAGTAACTTTGGAACATCTGTGTATTCAGGAGGACTTTCAAGCACAGATGCAGGCAAATGCCTCAAACTCCTATTGTGTAAGTATTTCATATTTATCTTAAGAGATAATAGGAAAAAATTGCAACAAGTGAAAAGTCAGATTGTAAATTTAAAAAATTTTGTAAATAATATTGTTCAGTGATTCTAGTAAACCAATCCAAATACCCCAAAATACTGTAATATTGGCATTACAAACGTCAATTTAAATAGTGGCATTTTCTTGCACTGCTAGCAGAAATGCTTTCCTAAATATTATCAAATAGCAGAGCAATTACCAAAACCAGTCACAGGGAGTTCCTTTTAACTGTGTGAGACATGCAATGACTTGATTTTTCTCTGACGGGCTACATGTTAGATAGAGATAAAAAAAATTTTATTGTATAAAACTTTTCTCATATTATTTGGCCTATTTGGTTTAATCTGAACATTTTTCATCTATCATAAAATTATGATAATATTTTGGAAATTTTCCAATTTTTTGGTTTGCTTTCCAGTCTTTTTTTTTTTTGCTGTTGTTGTTAGTAAATGACATTTTATTTAGAGGCAACATAAAAATTACTGTGTTTTAAAATTATTTTTATCCAGCATTTGTCTGCCTGTAACTCAAAAATGGTCTGTTCTGTTAAGGAGCTTTTCGTAAACATTCTTCCTTTTCCCAATTACTTTGCCAGCTGTATCGGAGAAGGTTTTAGTTGAGTTGAGCTATGAATATATTCTGCTTGTATGTATCTTTTTCTTGTATTTTGCTCTTATAGACCTCAAAGGTGAACTGATTTCCCTGTCTGGGTATTTCTGGATCAGGTGCTCCATGAGAACCTTGCATTTTCCAGGTTGCTGGTTATAGCTGTTTGTAGCCTGTGTAGCACAAACTGCTGTTCTATGGCAACTAAAGGATGTTTAGAGTGTTTTTCATGCTCCAATGGGAACTGCAGATCTGATCATTATTCCACAGCCTGCTGAATATTCTTTTCACAGGGTATTTACTTGAGTGTGCACTTGTGCTTATCTAAAAACACTTGCTATCGATGATGAAAGAACAGAATTTATTTGGAGTAAGATGTGGCAGTATGGACTGAGTCTCTGGAAAAGTTGCAGCACCAGATTTGGTTTGAGAATGTACTGCATTCCCATCCACCAGGCTACAGCGACTGGAACTCCACCACATAACTTCTCTTTTTTAAGGTACCCTGCAAATGGAATGAAACCCTGTGCACTGTACAGAGATGTTCGGGACTAGCAAGGTTACAATCCAGGACAGCAGTGACTGGCAGATTCCAGCTCCGTTTGGAATCTGTACAGTGCTTAAACTGCAATTGCACAGCCTGTTGGTCCCTTCCCACGCCTCCACACGTCTTCTTTACTCACTACTGTTTGGATTTTGTAGTGATGAGCTCTTACAAGACTTGGGTTTGGGAATTTCTTTTGAGAGCCCCTTGGTAGCCAACTGGCCTGAATTCCAGCAGTGCTCAGTGCATGCAGCTCCTGCTCTGGTAAACAGGGTTGCATGTACTTATGTCAGCAATGCATTTTTGCAGTATCTCAGCAAATGACAGTCATAGCTGAGCTTTCATGCTTCTGCTGCACAATAATGCCCTGCCACTGAAACATGTGGAGGAAGGGATGGAAAAACCCAGTTATCCTGTGTATGTATTTAATAAGCTGTCTAGTCTAGTAGTTAATACTGAAGCTAACGAGATGTGATTGTATGTTCTGAAGCAAGACTGTTTGTCCATACATCTGCATCCTTGTTTTAATCATATCGTATGTGGTTTCAGAGGCAAATCCCAGGAATGTGGAAGAAATGTTGACTGCTGTATGCAATGTATACCAGGACTTTAGCTATTGCTTTACAGTCCATCACACTTAGTCAGAGCTGCAGAAATAACATGCCTCTTCAGTAGATCAAAGTGGAGGCACTGACACAAGGTGGAATTTCACCCTGTGTATGCTTGAGCTGCTCTTTTAACAACACAGTACCATAATAAGCACTCGGTGATGCAGCACAAGGATTCAGGGAAAACAGGGTGAGTTGTGGGCAGTAATCTCCCAATGACATTATCTAAGCTAAGTCTATCTTAAAGTCTTTCTACCATCCAGATAACAATGGAGGAAACAAAGGAAGTTGTGAGCCTTAGTAATACTGGTCTGATCCAGATCAGTCCCCTTATTTTCTTACAGGAGGGAAACAAGAAAGCACCTTATGTCCAGCCTGAGAAGGCACTTGTTAAGACTGCTATTGATAGGAGAGACAGTTTCATCCTTACAAGAAAGACTCAAGAGCATCTTCACTGTAACCACAGAGACTTGATCACAGGCTTTACTCTTCATCCATGATTGGAATCAGCCTGGCCCAGTAAAGTCAAAAGTGAGGCTGTGATCTGGCCAGTGTATATTTAAAAGAATTGTGAGAGAAAACGAAAGCCATTGACTAAGGAGGAGGGAGTGATTGAACTCTTTCAGTTCACTATTTTCTCACTTTACCACTAGCATTGATGTATGCAGAGAGAAACAGTAACAGCCTGGCAATGCTGACTTCCTAATCATACTGTATAGACAGAAAACAGGGAGTAAATTAATCTATTAGAAGCAAACACTGTGTAGAAATTACTTGATTGTTCTCATGATACCTGCTGCTATTATGATATTTTTCTCCCGGGTTTATAGATACTACCAGCCATCCATCTCTAAAATAAGCTTTTTGTTTCCTGATGCAAATATGTTTAGGAAGTTTTTTGAAACTTATTTTCTGCAGCTGAAATCGGGTGTACAGCCACATTTTCTTAAAGTATCTTCAGCCAATACAAAATACTGTGGAGTTGGGCATCATAACCATGATTTCACTTACACTTGGCCTCATTTGAAGAATTTATGCACCTCTTCTAAATCACTGACTAGGGAAGACCAAATTATCCTGCCTAACCTTACTCAACTGACATGGAGAACTCCATGTCACTGAGATGATGGTTGAGCCAAATGTCATCTGTCTAAAGAACAGTGTTTAAGCAGCAGGGGTGTAAATTGTCGTTTACTCCCCTGGCACAGGTAGTATTTTAACAACTCTTGATCAGTGAGCACGGAGCAGAGCTCAAGCTAAGAAATGCTGCTGTGCTGCTAAAATGACTCTGTGGCTTCGACTACATCAGCAGGTGGGAGATTCCAGTAGAGCAGGTCTAGAGAGCACCTGAGAAAGTACTGAGGACTCCCCATCTGCACTGTATGTGTTTGAATTCTGCTCCAGACAAGCTCTTGTCTGGCTTGTTGGACTGAATATTCATTAACAGCTGGGCTGCATTAGCTGCTCAGACTGAATATTCTGTTTCATCTTTATTTGAAAGGAATCCAGTTCATGAGCTATGGGACTGCTCAGCAGGGAAAGCCAAAGCACTATGAGCAAGGAATGATCAGGAGCTTTGATCCAGGATAGTACTTGTGGCTCAAGCTACCTTAGACTTACCTTCTGACCATATGGCTGCAGCCAGAATCAAGTGTGCTGTTGCCTTGAGAAAGACTGGCTCAGACTTCTCTGAGCAAGTTGCACAGTGAAGTTGGTTACCCTCACGCTACAAGATTAGTCTGGTTTTAGGCCTAACTGAGACTATGGCACAACTAGATCCAGATATTGGGTGGTGTAGAGCATATATAAGGTTCAGTTAAGGATCTTTTACTGGGAGCTTAGGTTTGAATTTACTGTTACCTTGCCAGTAGTTAAGGCAGATTTTATAACTTAAACTCTGCAAAGGAGGAGCCTTAAATCAGTAATTCCCTTGTAGATGCTATTTGCAAACTTTAGATCTTTCATAGTCCCCTACTGACCATATTCTTGGCACTGCTCTGCCTTTGAAAGCTCTTGGCACTATAGGCCATGTCTTCAGAGTCCCTAAATTTAAACCAGAGTTCCTGAACTTAAACCAAGGCTTATGTGGTTCTCATCAGGTTCTTCCATATTCCAGTTTTATTGTCATATCATTTCAAAGTGTATTACTGAAATTAAAAGATTTGGGTAACTAGTTCTGCCAAACAAACAAACAAAAAGTAGTTGGCCTACCTAATTATTGTAAAGTTGGATATAGATTGGAGCACAGCAAATGGCAGTTGCAGCAGTTAACCTTTGTATAGTGCTCTCTAGAATGAACTTTGCACTTTGCTACTGTCAAATCTGGTTGTTTGGCTCCATTTTTCCCTTCCTGGCATGTAGCCTATTTCCAGTCTAGTGTTCCTTCTGAAGTATTTTATTAAAAGGATTTTTAAAAAGACAACTGATGAAACAGTCTATGAAAGCAGTTAAGCTAAGGGAGTGGTGTCTGCTTTTATTTCTTCTAACAAAGTGGTTTGTTTAGGGAAAAAAGTTTTCTCTTACCTTGCTGAGAGTTTCAATGTTACTTCTCAGTGGCAGTTCGCCAAGTGAGCGTGGCTGGATGCTCTGCACATGGAGGTGGTTTCTTTTGCTGCTGAAACCCAAACTCTGCAGTTTTGAAGATCAAAGTGTAGTTTTTTTAATGCCAACATTTCAGTGTATTCTGAAATTAGATGATGATAGCATTAGTTCACTACATGTAACTGTTTAACTTTAAAACAGATTTTAAAATATATTAATATTTTTAAATTTATATAGTACAGCTTCTAGGACAAATACCAGTGGACAGAACACTGAAATAGAAAAGTGCAGTGCAGGAATACCAGGTTTCATGAGAAAGATCTGAAGTATTTGTTTTTATTGTCTGTTTAAACTTTTTTTGGTTTTAGATTGTGACCTCTAGTGCTGCTTAAGCTTTCTAGAACAAATATGAAATATTTAACTCGCCTAGTTAAGTCTGTAGCTCTAATCACATAGCGTTCAGAATTGCTAGAGAAAATGTATTTGTTGCAATATTTCATGCAAAAGACTCCATATTTGTCACATTTTTTAACATATATTATGGAAATATGAATTATTTCCTGGAAGGAAGCCACATGGGGTAAGTCTGTTACTGTTTCTCCAGACTGTGTGGAGGAAACAGGTCACTCTTAAGGTGTGGGATGCTGTGAACATTCTTTTACAGACAGGAACAGACCCTTAGCAACAGTTTTATTGAACAGGGGTTGAATTGAAGAGGTTGAAGGAGCTGATCCTGCCCCTCCACTCGGTCCTGGTGAGGCAGACCTGGAGTCAGTTCTGGGCTCCTCAGTATGAGAGACAAGTAGCTCCTGGAGAGGGTCCAGCAGAGATCATAAAGATGATGAGGGTCTGGAGCATTTCTCTTATGAGAGATGAAGTAGCTGGGCTTAATTGGTCTGGAGAGGACTGAGGGGACCACATCAATAGATATAACTGCCTCAAAGGTGGGTGCCAAGAGAATGGTACCAGGCTCTTTTCAGTGGTGCCCAGGACCAGGACGAGTAGCAATGGCCATAAACTAAAACGCAAGAAGTTCCACCTCAAGATGAGGCAGAACTTTACACTGAGGGAGGCAGAGCAGGGGAACAGGCTGCCCAGGGAGGGGGTGGAGTCTCCCTCTCCAGAGACATCAAAAATCCACCTGGAAGCGCTCCTGTGTCACCTGCTCCAAGTGACCCTGGCAGGGGGGATGGACTGGGTGATCTCCAGAGGCCCCTTCCAAACCCAAACGAGTCCGTGATTCTATGAAGGGTGGGAACACGGGAGCGCGGATCCGCGCCCTCACCGCCCCCTCACCGCGCACCTCCACCACGAGGCAAATGGCGCCCGCGGGCGGGGCTGGGGGAGCCGCCGGGCCCGCACAGCCCCGTCCCGCCCCTCCCGCGGGCGGGCCCGGCCGGGGGGCGGGAGGCGGGAGGCGGCCGCCCCTCGCTCCTCTCTCCGCCCCGCGCTCGGCCCGGGTGAGCCGCGCCGCCGCAGCCTTCGCGGAGCCCAGCCCCAGGTGCAGCCACCGCCGCCCGAGCCTCGCAGCCGCCGCGGCCCTCCCGCCTCGCCCCCATGGAGGATTACCACAAGCCCGACCAGCAGACGCTGCAGGCGCTGAAGGACACGGCCAACCGGCTCCGCATCAGCTCCATCAAGGCCACGACCGCGGCCGGCTCCGGGTGAGTGAAGGAAGGAGGGAGGCGGGCGGGCAGAGCCCCGGCCGCACACCGGAGCCGCGCTCCCGCAGCCCGGGGCGGTATCCGGCCTCGGGATGGGGCTGGGCGGGGCCCGGGCACGCGCCGGTGTCCTGGGGCAGAGGCCCCGCTCCGGCTGTGCGGGGATGCTGCGGGAGCGGCGGGGACGGGGAGCGGGGCAGGGATGACCCGGCCAAAGCCCCGCACCCCCCGCGCCGCTGGATGCGGCGGTGGCACATCTGGAAATGGCGGCCGGGGCCGGGGGCTGCGCGGGCAGAGCCCGCCCGGGCCGCGCCGGGCGCCGGTGCCCGCGGGTGTTGTGACTGCGAGAGAGGCCGGGAATGCTAAGTTGGTGCAGGACTGGAAACCAAAGAATTTGTGCCCGAGGCGCAAGCGGCTTCTTTTTCATTGCGTGCCCGTCAGTTGGAACTAATTCTGTACAGAATTTCAAGTGAGCCCAAGTGGGATTATCTGTGCCATGCCCGCGGTCTCCAATGGGCAGCTTATTCAGGCCTCTGGACAGGATTTAGTGTGGGCTCTGATGTGTGCAGATTCCAGGGTTATCCTTCCTTTGATCGTGCTTTACCTATGGAAAAAAAATCTCTGCAAACAATCCTCTTTTACTCATATAAAATTAAAGCCGTTTTTTCTGCTTGAATAATATATTTCAGTGCCTCCATGTAAAGTGCTGGCCTTTTTTTTAATCTCTCCCATCTTGTTGCAATTTCCTCCTTTGGACCTCTTTGAAACTGGCTGCAGTGTTTAAAAAAAAAAAAATTAAAAAGTCTGAAGGAGTCTCTTGGATGCTGAGGTTCGTGTGGAGAAGGGTAGTATGTAAAAGGTTATAAAGCTTCTTTGAATTGCCTTACAGTCTCCACCCTGTGCCTGGCATGAGCTGCCTCACATGGCTCTGGAAACAGAGAAACTGAACTTTACTCGTTCTGTTTGCAGACAGCGAATGGAAATGCTACTGTGGTTCTTCCTGTGAAATGGGGTGTTGGGACGCGGGAAACCTCTCGGCCTCCATGGGGGTGGGTTTTTTGGGTCCAGTCTGGAGAGAGAAGTGCTGGACACCCAACAACTGCTCTTTTACTTCTTGATTTGTTTCAAAGCTGCAGTGTACAGGCATTATTACACAAGCCTGTGTGAAATTGTAGGTAAGAAAAATTGTGCTAAATCTGCTTAGTAGAGCTTGGGCTTCAGTATCGAGCTTCTAGTATGTATTTTAAGCAGGCCTAGGGATGCGTGGTATTACTTGTCTTATCGGCAGATAAAATTATTTCTCTGCTTTGTCTGATATGCTGTTGAAGGATAAGGTTCATGCTACAGCCTCTGCTTCTCTTCCGTGGTCCATGGAATTCAGCAGTAAAACCATTCCCACCATACTGATGAACAGACAGTAAAGTATTTTTTCTCAAGCTTTTTATTCCCGGTTCATGTGTGCTACAATACCGAGTCCTTCTTGCACAAAGGCATTTCATTAATCCCTCTGGTTTATTCTGCCACTGGAGTTGTGTAGTCTGAAATTATTACACAACCTGATAACGAGCAGATTATGAAAGATGGACTCTGGAGGGAAGATTCTGTTGGCAAGTCATTTATTTTCTTAATAAGATTTGATTGCCAAGATGATGGTGTAGTAACATACCTAAAAGAGAGTCAGTCTGTTGTGGAGTTAGACAAAGCACATATACTTCTAAAACATCTGTACATTATGAATATGTTTCCCAAAAATTGAAGGAGACAGTACACTTTGCTTAAATTGCTGGTGTGCACCAAGAATATGGAAAGATGTTTGAATGCAAGTTAAATAGAAGCTCACAGTTAATTAAAAAAATAAATTGTCGTGCTTGCTTTGACTTTGTTAAGGAAATTTGTGTTTGTTGAAGGTGTAGTTGGTAAAAGCTGAAGGAAATACTTCCAGTAAAAGCACTTCAGACAAAACAGGACCTGCCTACTACTTTCAAGGAAGTAATATCTGTAAAATGTGGTGTGTATTGCAACACAAGTGGTGCTGTGGTAGATCCGACACACCAGTTCTTGCAGCCTTTACTTGTTCTACCTTTTGTGAAAAAAAGTACAGCCTTTGCCTGGACAAGAGCTAAGTCGGTCTGATCCTGAAGTTGCTCAAACACATCACTTTGAGTTCTTCACCAGCCGTGGTGGAAAAATTCAGTGGACTGGAAAAAAATTTTGTGTTTAAAATTACTTACGTGGGCAAAAAATTTGATTGAGTTAGTTGTAAGGATTGAACAGACTTGCTTTGGGGCGTGGAAGAAGGTGGGGTTTTTTTAGATAAGTAGGGCAGACATTTCCTTCAGAAAGTGTAGAGTCTCTTCTGTAGCTGATGATACATTTTTACAGTTTTGAAACAGTTTCTGGGCTTCCTAGAGGTGGCTGGTTACATTCTTAAAAGTGGAAGTTGTAAGAGTTTCTTAAGAGGCAGTTAAGTTTCATAACGTGTGGTGCGATCACTTGTTGCAGATTAGTTTTTCTTCAATTTTTTTAGCTTTTCTCTTGAACTCAGTGTTCCATTTTAACTTTCCACCACAGTCCTTTTTAGTTGAAATGTGGACATGTGTAGATGGAGATAATTGATGCAGAGTAATAAAAAACACCTACGAAACTACTTTTTTGGAGTAATCATCTTACTCTTGGTTTATGTGGATCCAAGATTTCAGTGTCCTGATGGACTTCAGTTTGGTTTCCTCCTGAAGGGCTGTATTTCAAAGTTAAGGCTTCAGTAGAACCTGTCAAAGAAGAGTAGTAATGGGACCAGCACCACGAGGTTCTGGGTTGTTCATCCATCAGGATACAGTTGATTTTTACAATGATTTCTGATATCTGATAAGCAGTTAAATTTTTGGTTATTTCTGATAGTAGGAATTCATGTAATTACCTGTAGCTTTAACAAGATTTTTTTTTTTCCAATTTTCAGGTAATTTATTAAATTTTTCTGCTTTTTTTTTATTTCCACGCGCTACCATTTTAGGTGGTTTAAAACTTTTTTTACCAAGACCAGGAGTTCATAGAAGTATGGTTAAGTATAAAGTTAATAAAATTAAAGGAATGAAAGCTTTAAACAAGCATGTAAGGCTTCTTGATTAACTCAAACACATAAATATTTACTAATATGTTTGAACCATGGTTTAAAGCTAATTCTTTTGTTTCCCTGTGTGAGTACTTACTAAGGGATGGACACTAACTGTAATTTGTATTTTGCTAGTGTTTTGCATGTTTTTATTCTCTTATTACAGCACCGTTGGGGATGTTGGGAGGGAAGGTTTATTACTATCAAAAGAATATTCTGGTTAAAGTTCTAGTGAAAGTATTGTCTAATCCTAACATGCATGGTAATGTACATGTGGGAAATGAAATGTGACACTTTCATAGTAAGTTCGTCCTGTTTTATAAGTAGGGTCAAATATTTTAAGAATATTGTGTTAAAGATGA